AAAGGTCCAAATATACAAGGCCCATAATTGGTCAAATTTTCCAAATTGGGCTCAACTCTCAAATAGACCGCATCCTAAGGTCCAATTCTTTTAACTAGCCCAGAATACTTCTACTCAGAAAGTCCATTAAGGGGCCCAAGCCCAAACTGGCCCAAAGATGGCCCAAAGCCCAACTCGCAAAAGCCCAACAGAAGGCGTACCCCAAAGTTACGCAGGACGTACGCATGCCTCGCATTGACTGGAAACGGGGGCGTTGACCACGTACGTGGGGCATACTCCATTCTACGCGGGGCGTACCCTCGCAGAGTTCAAAATCAAATAAGTGCTTAATACCTTAAGCACTTAAGCCCAAACTTTAGATCCATGGTCCAAATGCACCTTAGAGTCATAAAATTTCCAACTTTATGGCTTTAGACGTCCAAAAATTCTTAATACAAGATCTTAGCCCATTAAGACCTTTCTACCAAATGCATGGGACACTTCTAGCCATTGGGACTTCATATTTATGATTATGGACCACTATAAGGGTCTGAAAGGACGGCTTAAATCATCTAGAACATGCCATGTTCAAAATGGAGCATTTGGTACCAAGTAAGATGCAAATAAGAACCCAACATGAGATCTAGCAAAACAACCATAAAGGTTTGAGCTTTATACCTTTGGATGATGAAGAAGGAAGCCAAAGCTCCATATCCAAGCCTTCCTTCACGTTCCTAAGCTTCTTGATGCACTTCCTTTGACTCTAACACACCAAAAACACACTCTAAGGCTCTCACTCACACTCAAGGGGGCTAGGGTTTTGCAAGAACAACTAAGGGACTTTGAGGCTGAAAGGATAAGGGCACTTGGTCCATAATGATGGTTAAATACTTCTCAAACCCTAAAATTTAGGGTCTCACTCATACACTAGTACGCTCAGTGTACATATGTGTACGCCCAGCGTACTAGGGCGCGCCCTAGTACGCTTAGCGTACCCACATGTACGCGCAGCGTACATCTCTTGCCCTCTAAATTACCAAAATGCCACTAGGGCTCCTTAGGGCTAACTCCAAACAACTCCATGGGCCAAAATGTCACAAATGAAATATCAAGGAAAGGATTCGAAAATACCTGAAATCCGGGATGTTACACGTTTAGTTATTCCAGATTTACTTGTATACAAGTTCGACCCTATAGTTGCTAGGGTTTACAATTATAAGTATTCGAAGCTAAGGATTCCAATGAACCACATTTGTAACAGTCAAGTAGTAAAAGGAAAGACCAAGGGGGTAGCCCATGACACTTGTATGTTTTGGTATGTGGTATTTTGTGGAACTCACTAAGCTTTGTGCTTACGGTTTCATATATACGGTTTCAGGTACTTTCGGTTCAAAAGGGAAGGGCCCAACGTGACTGCACATCATCCCCCAGAGTTTTCCGCATTGGCAATTAATGATATTACTTTGATGTTTAAATAATATATTCACTTTGATTGGTTTTGGAACAACTCGTTGTATGATTATTGTTTTAAAAATGAAAATTTTACCTTGGATTTTTGGGACGTTACATTTCATGAATTAAGGATTTAAGTTCAGAAGGTTTTAAGGCAAAGGGGAGTTGATAGGAGTATAGTGCTTCTCATTACCTTTCCGAGGATATAAGGATCGCCGAAAACGGAGATAGGACGTTGAAGTTATGGCCTTCGGAAGTTAGAATGGTTAAGGGCTTGCCGAGTATGCTTGGCATACAGGGGATGTACGTTGGGCGTACTTGGCTGGAGTGATCGCAAAGGTTCCTTCGCGTACGTTGGACATACGCGACTCAGTCTCAAACCCTAATTTAGGGTCTTGGACCCTATTTAAAATCCTTAACTCATTTCCAACCCTCCTTATCTTCAACCTCCATCCCTTCTAACCTTAAATTTGAAACCCTATCCCCATTTGGAAGGATTTTGAGCCTTTAAGTGATTTTGGGTGGATTTTTGGTGCATTTGGAAGAAGAATAAGAACTCATTGGATAAGTGTTGGTTGTATTGGAGCTTGTTGATTAAGGTCTTGTTCACCATGAATTTTCTTCTAGAGGTAAAAAACTTGAATCTTGATGATGCATTTGATAGATCTAGCTAGTCTTGGGTGTTATGAGCTTTTGGTCACTCTAGTGCATAAAGTTTAGATCTTGAAAGTTTGTGACCTTGTTATGGTTAAAGTTGGAAACTTTATCCATCAAAATATCATATTGATTAAGATCTAAAGGTTGGAGACTTGGACTTAATGGATTAAGTTGATAAAGATGCATTTTTGGTCCCCTTGAGACTTAAAGACTAGATCTTGGTTGTTGGGACCATTCTAATGGATAAATTTGGAAACTTTATCCATTATGGAGTTATTAGGAACCATAAAAATGTGATCTTGGTCCTTCTATTCCTTCCATGCATGATTTGGTGGTCTTTTGTTGAAGTTAGAGATTTAGGGCTTTGGTTTGGCCATGCAAAGTCATAAAGTCGGGAACTTTATGACTTAGGACGTCCCATAAGAATAAGATCTAGAAGTAATGCATGCTATCTTAAGGCATTAAGAGGTTTGGAATGTTTTTTTTAGGAATCAACATCGTAAGTTGGGCGTACCATGTTGGTACGTTGGGCGTACGCACCTGAATGGCTTTTGGGCCATTTTTTGGGCCTTGAGTCATTTTGGGTTTAGGCCTTGCTTTGTTGGGCCAAGTATAAGAGGGGTAAAATAGTGTTTTACCCATTATTATGACGAGATATGAATTGGACCTTGGATTATGGGAAATTACCTTAATTATTGATTAGGAATAATTTGGTTGTGTTTAGTGTGAGGAGCCCGGTAGCAGCAGCACGTGTGTTTCGGTTATCTTGGATTGATATGAGTCTCTTCACTGTACCCGTAGGTCGAAGGCACCAATGTCGGCCCACTAGGATCTGTTATATGTTAGTTGTCTTTGTGACTCTTGCATGGTATGTTGGGCAAGCCCCATTGTATGACGGGATAGGCTCATTGTATGACGGGCTAGGCCTATTTGTATGTTGGGGCTGGGCTCATGGATTAGGAAGGGCTAGGCCCAATGTATGTTATGTAGGATGCTAGCTGTCTCTGTGACTCTTGCATTGTATTTTGGGGCTATGCCTATTGGTTAAGAAGGGCTAGCCCCATTATTGTGGGTTGGGCCCAATGTGAGGACTAGGCCCAAGTATATGTATGGTATGTGGTATTTTGGGGAACTCACTAAGCTTTGTGCTTACGATTTATGCTTATGGTTTCAGGTACTTCCGATTCGAAAGGGAAGGGACCAATGTGACTGCACAACATCCCCCAGATTTTATTCCGCATTGATAATTTTTACTTTGATGTTTAAATGTTATTTTTATCTTGAATGGTTTTGAGAACAATTTGTCATATAAACTGTTGTTTTAAAAATGGAAATTTTACCTTGGATTTTCGGGATGTTACAGATCCTAACACTCTAACCCACAAGAACATGAAGATTTAGGGACAACACATAAGATCTAGCAACATAACATGATAAAAATCGAGTCTTAGACACTTACAAAGGTCCAGAAGATTGCTAACACCAAGGATGAGGACTAGCTTGCTGAGTCTTAGCTCACTCCTTATTATTTCTTCCTTCCAAGGCTTCAAGAACACCAACAAATGCTCAAAATGAGAGGGGGGGGGGGGATTTAGTGTTTCATAGGTCTGATGGAGGCTGAGGGTGAGCAAACCCTAGCCCCTCATTCCTTTAAATAAGGAGCAAAACCCGGGAAATATGATTTCTCACTTCCCAACTGCCACGTTGTGGCGGCTTAAATGAAACACGCGGGCAAATCTTAACTTGCCACGTCGTGTTGCCTCTCCACCACGTCGTGGAGATCCTATAAAATGTCAAAATTTCCAAAAATGTAAAGTACCTCGAGATCCGGATGTTACATTATTTTAATGGGGAGAGACTATACATTATGTTTTTTCTTATTTCTACACGGTACAATCGAAAAGAAATCAATGTATTGTCGTTTTCATTCTTTTAATAAAGGTTAATATTATAAATCGTTTTATATATTATGTGTTTTTGAATTAAATCCCAATTTTATTTTATTTTATTTTCTAAAAAAACCTTCTATTTTTATTTTAATTTTTGATTTGGCCCTTTTTTTTGCAGTTTTTTCCTAAAAAATTGTCAAAATTGAGGGTTTCTCTATGGAAAAAAAAAGTTAAGGGGTTCTTCACAAAAAATATTAAAAAGTTGATGATTTTTTCAGAAAAAAATAAAAAATTTTAATATATATTTTTTAATATTTGGGACCGGTATAATTTAAAAAAAAATGTTTGTGAATAGAGAATTATTAAAGTGTATAAAATAGTTTTGTAAATATTTAAAAATGTTTTCTAAAAGAAATTGAATAAAATGCGGTTTTATCATTTGTTGCTATTTAAATTCTAAATCCATTCACAAAAGTATAACCCAAGCAGAAATATTAAAAATAATAGAATTGAAATCAATTTTAGTTTTGCCAACCAAACATATGATTAAAATTGAATTCTTATGAATTTCAAAACCTTTGAACAATTGAACTTCAGTTTTTTTAAGAAATTCCAAATCTTTTTAAAACAATCTACGAAGCCCTTCAGTTTAAGAGGCAACTTTTTGGGACACAATGGTAAATTAAGTAAATCCACACAAAAAAAAGGTCAATTACTTTAATATTCAATAATCGTGGGGTTATTTTTTACAGATATTGTGATAACTTTAGTGTTAGCCAACTTTGCAATTTAATCTTTTAAGCTGTGTCTATTAAACCTGAAAACAATAAAAAAATAAAAAAAATCACCACATTCAAACAACTAATTAACACGTAACTTCAAACAAAAGGCTTCTAGTCCAACGGTACCAGATGTTGTCCTCATGTTTAAGGAGTATTCAAAAAAAAACATAACTTCAAACAATGTAAAAACACATCTAAAATAATTTCTCATTAAAGTCGCTTTTATTACAAGTGATTATCGGAATCTATTACTTTCACTAAAACAAAATAATTGGATCCTTCTTTTTGTTTGGTCTAAAGGACATCTTCCACCATATCTCCCTCCCCAATTCTTCTGATCCTCACAAATCTGCAGGTTAAAACTTTCAGAAATCACTCACACAGACATCGATCTTCAATGGAGTCCTTATTGGGATTATTAAGCATTCATGTACACAAAGGAGTAAACCTTGCATCTCGAGATATCGGGGCCAGTGACCCTTACATCATTTTCAAATTGGGTGATCAGGTAAAGCTTTTGTTCATCTTTACTCTGTCAAACTACTTGTGTTCTTCTTCATCTTTGATACGATCAAATATTATGCTGCTAAGATACGCCCTCCCACCACCACCACCACCACCTATGTGAAATTCTTGAATACATCGGTGGCGGTGGTTGCAGTTTCTGTGTATTCATTACTCTGTCTCCGGTGGCTGTTGATTGAGTAAAGGGGTGCTTTTCATTTTAATATGATTTTGTTTCTCTCTTTTTAGATATTTATATCAGGATACAGGCATTATAAACAGAATATCTAATTCTCTTTTTCTTTTACTATTTTACTTGTCTTTCTAATTCTAAGTTAGAGATTTTTTTAATAAGAAAAGTATTATTGCAAATAAAAGAAGTAAGAAGATTATTGCAAATAAAAGAACTAAGAAGATTTTTTCAATCGGGAAGGGAGATATCACAGTTTTTTTTAATCTATTGATAAATAATACGATAAAAGTATTATTGCAAATAAAAGAACTAAGAAGATATATATTTTATATCTAAAATTAAATAAATAAATAATATTTTTAAAGGTGATTTTATATTTATCTATTAGATTTTAAATAATTGAAATTTATCATATATTTATATGCAGAAAGTGAAAACTAAAGTGGTGAAGAATAATAACAATCCTGTGTGGGATGAAGTTTTAACTCTTGCCATGTTTGAACCTCTCCCGATCAAAATGGTAATTTTCTTAGTTTTATAGTTTTATATTCATTTCTCAGATTTCAGTTTCTTTTATAGCTTTTCTATATTGATCATATGTTTTGATGAATTTAATATTATAGGAAGTCTATGATAAAGATACATTTTCACAAGATGATGAGTTGGGGCATGCAGAATTTGATATTAACCCGTTCCTCGAAGCATTAAAAATGCATTTTGATGATCTTCCAAACGAGACAATCATTGCAACTGTAAAACCAGCCAGGAACAACTGCATAGCTGAAGAGAGTCACATAAAATGGACAAACGGAAAAGTTATCCAAAAATTGGTTCTCCGATTACAAAATGTCGTATCAGGTGAAATTGAGATTCAACTAGAATGGGCTAATGTTCCTGGTTCTAGAGGTCTCTGATAACTTCATTTGAACATGTATTATAGATACGTATTCGTCTAATAAAAACATGTATTAGTATATTCATTAACTTTGCGTGTTACATGTATCTTATATTTTGGTTCGGATATAATTTCATAAACCGGTTGTAATGAGTATATGTTTAGAAATCAAGTTAAATAATGAAATAAATTAATCCTATTCCTTTTTCTTTTTCTTGTTAATTTCGCCATATGATCTGCATAATATTTGGCTATGACATTGTATTTATGTGTATTATTTCTAATAACTTATAAGAAAAAAAATGTATGGATGATGATAGTTTTATTCCATTTATCATGTTTTATAAAATCTTTTTTAAAACATAAATAAATAAATAATGGTTCTTGAATACAAAAAAAGCAAAGAATTTAAATAATGAAGGGACGTTAAATTGCCGTTAAGACCGAAGGCCGTTGGTTTGGAGTTTGGACACACTTGACTTGACACTACTACTACTATCCTCCTCCCTACCTTGGCATTCTCCGCATCTCTTGGCCTCATAAGAACTAGGGTTTCTGTTTTTTTCTTGAATTTTATACGATTATTTCAATGCGAATGTAACTCCAATAACCAGATTCCATTCGATATTCTTATTCCTTACTACCAAGCTGTTTTTAATTTGTAACGAAACTTGATTAGTTGCTGAGAATTGGGATCTCTGGTAATTTGTTTGATCCACAATCATCGATCAACTCTGTGATTTATGGCTTTAGTTCAGTCCTCTGCTCTCTGCTTTAGTGCTATTCCTTCAAATTTTCGACCGTCTTCTTGGTCGAATCGGTTGTCGAGTTCATTAGATTCGAGATCGTGTAGTACTGTGAAAGCCTCCGGCTTAACTTCAACGCCATCGACTCCTCCATCCTTCCGGTTTTCTTCTTCATCTTGCTCACAACCAGGTACTGCTGATCACTTGATCTTTCCTTTAGCCATGCTATTTGCTAATTACACTACTAAGCCAATTTCCTTCTTCATATTATTGAATCTGCTATGATATCCGATGTATAAATTAAACATAACACTGATCTCTATGTTGAAAGGAAATAAACAAGAGAGAGTAGAGTTTTTTACGCTTTACATCATCCTTTCTAACTCAGTTCATTTCCATGCTTTAATTGGTAACTTTTTGCCTAATTTCCTTTCAGGAAAAGTGTCTGCAAGTGCTCAGGGATCACCTGAAACCGATGAATCCTCACTTGTGGTCTGCTTTGGGGAAATGCTGATAGATTTCGTCCCTACAATAAATGGGCTGGCATTGGCTGAAGCCCCTGCCTTTAAAAAAGCACCTGGTGGTGCACCTGCAAATGTTGCTGTAGGTATTGCTCGCCTTGGTGGTTCATCTGCTTTCATTGGAAAGGTAATCCACCATATTCATTTCAATCTTCATCAAGTTATAAATGAAAGTGTTTATCTTGACTAATTTCATATATTATCTGGTTTTCAGGTTGGAGAAGATGAGTTTGGTTACATGCTTGCTGATATTCTAAAAGAAACAATGTAAACAATGAAGGAATGCGGTTTGATCCTGGTGCTCGAACTGCTTTGGCTTTTGTGACACTAAAGAAAAATGGTGAACGTGAATTCATGTTTTACAGAAACCCTAGTGCTGATATGCTTTTACAAGAATCTGAACTTGATCTTGATTTAATAAAAAAGGTATTCAAATACACCATACATTAATCTCCTTGCATACACTCGACTAAAACCAAACTTCAAATGCTCAACATATACTTCATGACTCTTTCAGGCAAAAATATTTCATTATGGATCCATAAGTTTGATTACAGAACCATGCAAATCGGCTCATATTGCTGCAACAAAAGTTGCAAAGGATGCTGGTGTTCTTTTGTCTTATGACCCCAATCTTAGGCTTCCTTTATGGCCATCTGCAGAGAGTGCAAGAGAAGGAATCTTGAGCATTTGGGATACTGCTGATATCATCAAGGTAAAAACTTTAAACTTAAAACTGAAAAGTAAATTCATTTTCTTTTTCTTGGACGCTTTTACCCTTTTGTGTAATGGTATTGATGAATTTGTTGATGATTAGATAAGTGAAGAGGAGATTGGTTTTTTGACAAATGGAGAAGATCCATATGATGACAATGTTGTACGAAAATTATACCATAAAAACCTCAAGTTGCTACTTGTGACAGAAGGACCAGATGGATGCAGATATTACACCAAGGTAATAACTTTTCATTCTTCTTTTGTGTAATCATGTTATAAAGATTAAAGCTATTTAACTAATTGTGATTTTGATTAAATTTTTTATAGGAGTTTAGTGGGAGAGTGAAGGGTATGAAGGTGGATCCTGTGGACACAACAGGTGCAGGGGATGCTTTTGTGGCTGGAGTTTTATCAAAACTTGCTGAAGATTTGTCAGTGTTGCAAGATGAGAAGAGGCTAAGAGAGGCTTTGAGTTTTGCAAATGCTTGTGGTGCAATTACTGTGACAGAGAGAGGGGCAATTCCGGCATTACCCACTAGAGAAGCTGTTATGGATGCTTTGCTCAAGGCTGTTGCGTAACTTTGCTTGCTAATTGAGGTTGTATATTAGTTGCTTTTAAAAAGCAAAGCACCTTCTATTTTTTCAAAAAGGCCATTGTTATGTAGCAAACTAAGTAATTTTTAATAAAATGTATGACGTGTCTAAATTAATAAAATTTATACTTGGCAACAACAATGGAGAAAAAAGCTACCTCAAAGTCGTCACTATAAGTATTTGTTGCTAGCTCTTGATTTGGATCACTACATGTTCCATAAATTTTAAATCTCCTTAATGTTTCATGCCCTCCTTCTCATATTTAAGTGTCAAACATTCAAATGAGGGAAATAAGAGAATTTAGAGCTTAAGAGATATGCAATTTCAACATTTTGCAAGAGTAGGCCCTTATTTCCCATTTTTTGCAATTTAACCCCTTGGTGGAATTTTTTATCGACAAACTAAGTCCCTTTTGTTTCAAGTGTTCCCAAAATCCAATATTTTTACAGATGAAATCCCAATCTCATTCAAAAGGGTCAAGTCAAATTACATATCTCAGTTTCTATGCTCAGACTCAAACCTTTTCTTCACTTTATTAAAACTTAAATTATAATCCTTCAAATAAACATGTTTAACTAATTACAAGTATTTAATTTATATTTAAAAAAATCTACATGCTAAGATTTACACTTAAAGGTTAAATCCTCTGGCCCCAAATTGCGGGTGTTACAAATCTCATCTACCACTTGTAATGCATAAGTCATCATGTCCTCGAAACCATATTGAACCAGCTAAATTATTTGGCTCCTTGACCTATCTTGAGTTTCACTACCAGCTTGTGAACTCAAACCACCTTCACTATTTCAGACTTCGAAACCACGATATTGTTCGGTATGCTTAATGACCCCAATTTGGTCACTATTTTTATGTCACGCGCATCATATGATCCATGCCAATTTCATTTCGTCCAAGTTTCCTCCCCAACGAAAATTACCCTAAGCACTTTCGAGAACCTCCAAAATTGCCAATAGTATATGAAAACAAAAAATAAGTAAACCCCCAAGACTTCTCAAAACTACTTTGAGAAGAGGTGGGGTGCCTCCCATAGAAAAAAATTTGTACTTTCCACCTCGAAAGCTTACGATTAATTTTTTGAAGAATTGGAAGTTATGTCAAATTTTTTGTCGTAGAATTCCCAAATAGTTAAAATGAAGGATATCCACCTTACAACCCAAAATACTCACAAAATCGTTACTTTCCTCCGTAGAGATGCTAACGTGAAACTGCCTACTTTTTGTTAGATTTATGCATAGGTGCGAAACCAAATAAAAAAGGTGCAAAATATGAACAATGATACATTGAATTTTAACAACCAAACTCCATCATTAAGAGCATCATGGACATAAAATAGACTAGACAACTCCATCCCCTTCTAACGCACCATGTTAAGACCTTCCATCACAACTAAGAAAAAAGGGGAAAGTGGATCACCTCGACAAGGCCTCATTCAAGAGGTAAAATGGAAGCCATTGATACATCTTTTCCATCTTGTGCCAAAACTTATACCTTCCATAGTATTAATTAGATATTTTCAAGTACCTATACCACGTGTCTTTCCGAAATCAAATTTAAAAAGCATCAACCGCTCTTTTTTTTTCTTTGCCCAAGAAAAAACCTTGTTAACGATCATCAAACTATATATGAAGAATGGTATGTTTTATTATTGACAAACGTTATACATATACTTGACATTTTGTCTTGGCATGACATGCCATGTTCGTTTTGTTTAGTCTTATTCTTTTCTCAAGTAGCATGTTAATGATGTAAATCACAATGTAGAGACAAAAATTTGAAGTTTGAGTATTATATATATATATATATATATATATATATATATATATATATATATAGAGTGTTATGTTCCACTATAACATTTTTCGATGAGAACATTACACGTTTTTTTGTTATTCAAATACAAATTAACCACCTAACTTCCCCCGCCATTTTATGTCATTCTCTCTCCTCTCATACGGACCTAAATCGACAGTACCGGACCACCACCGGAAACCGTCGGGAACCACCAGCCGTCAGACGTCTGACCACCTCTGAATTGCCGGACCTCCGGTGTAACAACCTTATCGCCACCGTATCGTTGTTGGATCAACAGACTTCCGCCTTTTAAATCGTTCTAAATCTGCAACACCACCTCTCATAATCAAAATCCATCTTCATCTACCTCTCATCTTCTGGAACCATCACCAGATCTTGGTACATCGGCTACTGTCATCGGATCTTGTTTCCCCTTTCCTGTTCTAACCTTCTACAGCCACAAGAGGAAAATCGTTTTTCGAATTTTAACTCAAACGCTCCCCCATCTGTTTTACGAACACTCACTAAATCACTTATCCTCATTTAGTGAAGAAAAGTTTGAAGTCTAACGCAGGGAACTAACAACAATGTTCATCTGGAAGTATGTTTCGTATTTCTTTTCATTCAATTAGAAACATACTTCCTAGATCCAGATCTGTAGAGCACAAAAGGACTTCAAACCCTAAGCTATCTCGATTCAGCAGTCTAACTCTACCTAGGGTTTTCATCGGCGATAGGTACGTCGGAGGTGTGAATGAGGTCAGGAAGCTGCAAGAGGCCGACGAGGTAAAGAATTTGTGGAGCGTTGAGTCTGCAACTTCGTTATTTTCTGCTTCACAGCGTCGTATTGTTGCTACAACATGGACCAGAGTTTCCAGCTTCAAGATTCGCTGGAGGAGGGAGTAACCGGAGAGGAAAAGTGTCGCCAGAAGAGAAAGAAGCAATCGGTGTTGGATGTGTGTTGGTTTTCATGAAGAGGTTAGATTAACTCTCTATTTTGACTTTTCAAAGACTATGCTTTGGCTGATAAGAAGATTATCTAAAAATATAAACTGGTTGGATAAATTAAAGACTAAATCTGAGTATAATGTTCATAACGCAAACTCCATTCTTCTTTTGTACTAATATAATGTATTAAAATTAAAAGTTTTGATGTGAATGACCATTCATGACCAGTTTAATCTCATGAATAGTGACGTTTGTCGGTTCCCACTCCTCAGTCCTACCACATCTACATAATATTATAAAAGACAATTTGAAATCAACGAGATTTTTTACTTTTACGAATGAAAGTCTTGAGTTTCTTACATTTCTTTTTTATTCCTTTATAAAAGGTTTTGATCCTTTTAATTTCATTACTTTATTATTATTATTATTATTATTATTATTATTATTATTATTATGTTCCACTTTCAAGATACAAATATTAATAAATATACGTTTATAAATGAATGTTAGTTTTTGAAAGATGATTCTATTTGTTTTTGGTTTTTTATTTATTTAATTTTGGTTTATATAATTTAGACACATTAATATAAAAATGATTAGGTGTTTAGTTTAGGGTAATTTATATATTTGATTCCTAACTATTATTTTTAACTTGGAGGATCTATATTTTATGTTTTTGTTAAGTTTTCGATCTTACTATACATAGAAAGACTCTTTTTTCCTTATTTTTGTTGATTAAATTGTCATTATATATTTTTTATTATTTATTTAAACAATAAAATAAATTAAAATGAATCTCAACACAAAATTCACCCTTACCCCACTCATTCATTTTAAACTTATTATTTATCAAAATAAATCATATATATATATATATATATATATATATATATATATAAATCATACATGATTAAATACACAAGAAAAAAAAATATTGAATCGAAATGAAAAAACAAATCTTGTAAACATAAATCATATGTGTTAAATAAATATAATCAAATGTGATTAAATATACATAAATAATTATTGAATAGAGAACGCGAAAACGAATATTGTCTAGATAAATCATATGTGATTAAATACGTATAATCACATTTGATTAAATAAATGAAAACAGTTATAGAATCTAGAACGTGAAAACGAACATTGTCCACATAAATCATATGTAATTAAATATATGTGATTAAATACATATAATCACATGTGATTAAATGCACGATAACGACTTTTGAACCAAAGAACATGAAAATAAATCTTGTCCACATACATCATATGTGATTAATGCATATAATCACATATGATTAAATACATTAGACTAACTATTAAATCAAAAAAGTGAAAGTGTGTATTGTCAATATAAATCATATATGACTAGATATATATAATCACATGTGATTATCTGTATCTAATCATATATGATTTATGTGAAGGACATTCATTTTTACGTTCTCGATTCAATAGCTGTTCTTTGTCCACATTAATCATATGTTATTAAATACATATAATCACATATGATTATATGTTTCTAGTCGTATATGATTTATGTGAATAATATTCATTTTCGTGTTTCTTAATTCAACACTTGTTCTCGTATATTTAATCATATGTTGTTATATGTATCTAATCACATATGCCTTATATGGACGATATTGATTCATTTTTGTTAATATAGCTCATATGTGACTAGATACATATAATAACATGTGGTTAAATACAAGAGAAAACATATTCAATCGAAAAATCGAAAATGAATTTTGTCCATATAAATCGTATTTGATTAGATACATTTAGTCACATGTGATTATATACCCGATAACAACTATTGAATCAAGAACGCGAAAACAAATTTTTTCTTAAATCATATTTGATTAGATACATTTAGTCACATGTGATTCTATGATCTAATCACATATGACTTATATGTACAAAATTCATTTTTATGTTTTCGATTCAATAGTTGTTCTTTGTCCACATTAATCATATGTGATTAAATACATAAAATGACATATGGCTAAATACATAATAACAACTAGAGTAAATATATGATAACAACTTTTGAATTTGAATCTTATTCACATAAATCATACATGATTAGATATGTATAATCACATATGATTAAATACACAAGAACAATTATTGAATCAAGAACACGAAAATGAATATTGTCCACAAAAATCATATGTGATTAGATACATATAACCACATATGATTATATACATGATACCAAACATTGAATCAAGAATACGAAAACAAATCTTTATCCATATTTAACATATGTAATTAAATACATCTAATCACATGTAATTATCTGGATCTAATCACATATGATTTACGTGGACACAATTCATTTTCGCTTTGTCGGTTCAATAGTTGTTCTCG